CAGATGAGTGTTGGCTGCATATGAGGTGCATATGCATGGCTTCCTCCATGGAAAGTGAATATTCTACCACTGACCCATCCCTGTCTCCTGTGGAGAATATGATTTACTAATATTTGTTTATCTTCAATGGGCTGTGAGTGTCTAGAGAGGAAAGACTATCTGTCTGTCTAGCACATCTAGTACTAAGTTTACACTCTTGGCAAACATATGAGAGAAGAGCTAAACAAAGGGGAAAACAAATGAGGCCATCTCACTCTTTTTGGTTATGCCTAAGGGCATGAAGAGCAGCACTACTAGAGTTTTCCCCTTCAAACACAATTAATACAAATGTTTGTACGCATTAAATGGCTAATGGTTAAGACTGAATCCAGTAATGTCCACCCTTTCCCAACCCAGCCCTAACTTCCCAAGCAGCAAATTCATATGCCTGTGTCTTAGTTCTCCAGTGCTCCTATAAGAGAAATACCACAAGTGCATGGCTTTAACAAATAGAAATTAAGTTTTTCACAGTTTGGAGTTTAGTAATCCAAATTCAGGGAGCTAGCTCTAGGAAGTCTTCTTTCTCTCAGTTCTGGAGGAGAGTCCTTGCCTCTTCTCTTTCTCCTGGACAATCTTCATGTGGCTTGTCAACTCTCTTCCTCTGTCTCCAAGTGCTAGCTCACTTGCTTGTTTAATTTTTCTTTAATATCAATTTTTTTGTTTTGTTTTTGAACAGCTAATTCATACACATTGTACAAAATATTTAGCAGGTGAAAATTTAATAGGAAAAAATATTTTAAGAGTTACAAGTTGCAAAAATATAGTCCCTCGTGTTTAATCTCTTTTTATATTTCAAGAGATTGACACAAAACACACTCTACACTAATCCTGCCTCATTAACACAATAAAGACAACCCATTCCCAAATGGGGTTATAATCACAAGAATAAAGATTAGGATTTACAACACATATTTTTTGGAGGCACAATTCAATCCATAAAAGCCCACAAGTTCACACCACTCATATACAATGGCAACCGATAACTATGTGAATTTCAACCTTTTCAATACCAGATTATCTTCTGCTTTAAATTTTTGGTTGAAACCAGGTGTTTTCGTTAATGGAAGATATTTTGAATGGAATGAAAAAAATATTTTGAGGTAATATGTATTTTGATACAATTCATGGGACACATATATCCCAAGGAATTTCTGGCACTAGGATTGGTGGGATGAGGCCTGTTTCTTTAGATTTATGCAGTTATACAAGCCTCTATCAGATAGCAGCACGCACTAACAGTGGAATAGCAGCTTCCCACTAAAGCCAAGAGACTGAAAATGCAGGTGGGCACTATATGTCCCATGGGCTACATAAGAGTTATATCACTGACATTAGACATTTCAAATGTCTTTCAAATTTTCACCTGAAAAAAAGAAAAAGTGCTTTAAATGTTCCTCCAACAAATTCTGAAGTAACTAAAACAAATGAATAATATTAAAAAATAAATAATTGTTTTTGCTAGAATTTTAGGCATTATACCACCAGGTAACTTTTATTTTTATTTATCAAAATATATATATATACATATACATATATATATATGTATATATATGTATATATGCACACACACATATATATGTATGTGTGTGTGTGCATATACACACACACACACATATATATATTGTTGTTGTTGTTGTTTGCCGTCGAGTCGGCCCCGACTCATAGCGACCCCTCCTTGGGTTTCCGAGGCAGTATCACTACGGGAGTAGGATTGCCCAACCTTCCTTCCATATATATATAAAATAAAAGTTATTAAACTTTCACCTCCAAATATTTTGTACAATGTGTTTGAATTAGCTGTTCAAAAACAAAAAAAAAAAGATATTAAAGAAAAATTAAACATATATATATATGTGTGTGTGTGTGTGTGTGTATGTATATTGGATTAAATATGTGATTTTGTTGACATTTCAGGGACAATTTTGGAATTTTTATTTTTAGGGGTTAATTCTTTCTGGGCCTATCCTGGCTGAAGCAGCATCAGGTAGTGTAATAGCTAAGACACCTACCTGCTAACCAAGAGGTCGGTGGTTCTAACTTACCAGCTGCTCTGCAGAAGAAAGATGGTGTGTTCTGCTTTGGTAAAGATTTACAGTCTTGGAAACCCACTGAGGGTCGCTATGAGTCAGAACCCACTTGACGGGAGTGAGAAGCAATATCTGGATTTAATACTCTTGATATTGGGATTGAAGCAAGGGGCTTTACCTTTGCCCTTGGTATTTATTTCCTAAGTTTGTCCTACACAGTTAATACAGAGAAAGGAGAGTTCTTTTTATTCTGAAAACTAAAAAAACTCACTGCCATCTAGTGGGATTAAACTCATAGCGACACCTCCTTGGGTTTCTCAGGCAGTATCAGGTGTTTAGTGCGCCATCTAGTGACTGACGCTCACAGAAGGCAAAAACCCTAAGGTTCTCAGGAAGTAAAACACAACTCAGACACTTAACTACAACAAGGTAGTTAGAGGAGGATGAGAAAGGATATAGAAAAGAAGGAAGGGAGGAAAGTCAGTGACCATAGAACACAATACGATGTGACAAGGAAGTTACATCTAGGACCATCCAACTTAGTTCAAGGCATTCAATTAACTTAAACAGTGAACCCTATGAAAATGTGAACTCCTCTCTGACTCTTATGACAGAGAGTCTCCATTAGAATCCCACCTTTGTTTTTGTACTCACTAGTGTCTGAGAGGGCTCCACAGGAGGCCCTTTTTCTTGGAACCCCTTTGGTCTTCAAACAGGGAGCTGAGAGCTCTACACTCAATGTCCTGCAGGAGTGCCTCAATTGAGTGCTTAGACCTTATGTGAGAGAAAGGTATATGAAACCAGATAGAGATGGGACTGATGGAGTGGTAGCAACTAGACACGGAAATTTATCTGATACGAGAGAGAATTTTATCTACTGAGGACCCATTAGTGTGGCCTAGCTTGCAGGCTTTCTGAGAACTCTGGCTCACCAGGACAGTCAATACCAACTGACTACCCTTGGAGAGAGTGAAAGACATATCTGTATAATCTGAGGCACCTTCCCTCACCATGGAAAACTGAATCCCCGTGGCTGATCCAGAAAGTAGAAGCCCCAAACTGCCTCAGTCTCTCCTTGGGAACCTGACAGGGCTACTTGTCGGGATTGCCTAAAGCCCCACAGACATCTAAAGCTTCTGGAGAGCAGAATATTGCACTACATACACACACATGTACAAACTCTCTCACCCATACAAAAAGACTCCTGCCATAGGAGGAATTCCTTTCTTTGCCTACCATCTCTAGCCAAGTCACTGAGCTGGAGATCATAATACCCTTTCGCTGATATAAGAGCTGACCAGTCTCAGGAGAGCAGCAGACATTGCCTGCATTTCTAACCTTTTACCAAAGAAGAAACTAGGAACAAGAACACAGAAACATGATCCCCAATTAGCATAAAATAAAAACAACCCAGTCATGTTTTCTGTAGGCTTTTCCAACCTTACACTAAAAGCATGAAGCAGAGAGAAAAAGATAAAAAAATATACATGTGGAACTATAAATATATTGTCTATGTATGTACAGCCAAAAGACCACTACCCAAATTGAGTATCTGTCTGTAAGCAGACCATGCAGCCAGATGCTGGAATCTGAGAATTCTCCTTTCCCAAAGAGCAGTGTGAGAACAGACAGGAAAGTATCCTGATTACGCGGTGTGCAAGGGGTTAAGTTCTCAGCCATCCCATTCTAAAGTGATTTATGATGATGTGTAGTGTTTCAAAACTTTCCCCCACCCTAAAGAACAGCCCTCCCCCTCCTCATTGAGTCCACCCTGAATGTGCTGAAATGGGAAGGAGGCGGTGTTTTGCTGATCTGTTAAATTCTTAGTGAAATTTCCTTGATTTCCAGTGGCTGCTGTTGTTTGAGTTTGGTTTGGAGCAAAACTGAGGTTGTCCTGACATTTTTGGGACGGAATCTAGGCGAGAGGAAGAAGAAAAGAAGGAGAAAGAAAAGAGGAGAAAAAAAAGGTGGGGAGAAATAAAGGGAGGAGAGAATTGCAGGAAGAGAAAAAAAATCCTTTTTCAACATCACATTCCTGTGTTTTCTCTCAGCCTGGAAAACATATTAATCCTGGTGCTTTTACGGAAACAAAGGAACTAAGCCAGACTGTGGGGGAAAGGGTGATAAGAAGGATCCTGGAACTTAAAGAGAGCGAGCGAGAGAGAGACATTCAGAAATTGCTTTAAGGGCCATCCTGTGTCTGGGCAAGTGACGGGCACCCAGGGACACACAAGACCAAGCAGAAGCCACAGACAAATGGAGATACAAAGACTAAAAAGGACAGCTCCTCTCACCTCAGCCTATTTGTCAAGCAGGTAAAAAGAGCAAGGAAGAAAGGAGAAAATCCACTCAGCTCCAGGAACAGGACAGGACTGTGGTACTACTTTGAAACCTGGAGCTGCGGCAAACTCCCTTTGTACTGCTCACCCTCGGAAAAGAGAAAGAGAGTTGAGAGGAAAAGTAGTTCATCTAGGAAGCTGTCCTGGGACCAAACTTCAGATTTATTTTTAAACCCTCTGCCTTCCATCTCTATGAACCACAACGTAAGTGTGTAATCCTTTCTGTCTCTGTTCACATGTTTGTTTCTTTGTTGCTGATTTGAGGCAATGAAATATTAATGTTGTCATAATTTATGGGCTCAGTTTTCTCTGGAGCATCCAGAGATTCAGTTGAAACTCAGTGCAAGCATGCTGACTGGGGAACTGACTTGTATTTCCTGCTTAATTTAACTGTCTCTGCAAAGCACTGACAAATTATAGGGGCTTAAAAGCAGTAGGATTTTATTTTATTTTCCCTTCCCTGATCTCCTCCCTTTTTCTTCTCTGATCCTTCCTTTCTCCTCCCTTTGGACAAGATAGGGAAAAAGAGAGTACTCCCTTCTGTTTGCAATTAAATGATTTTCTTTCTTTTCTTCTTCCCTCCCCCTTCTGTCTTATGACCCTGCTGCCTTTCAAAGTGGATTATACAATGACGTGGAGAATGGGACCCAGTTTCACCATGCTGCTGACTTTATGGCTGGTATGTGGATCAGAACCCCACCTCCATGCTATGAAAAAAGGAAGCCATGGAGGGCGGAAATTGCCTCTGGTTTCCCAAGTCGGCAGTAGGCCAGCTCGGTTTCTGAGGCACACAGGGAGGTCTCAGGGAATAGAAAGATCCACTCCAGAAGAACCAAACCTTCAACCTCTTCAAAGAAGGAGAAATGTGCCAGTGTTGAGACTAGCTCACCCCACTGTATTGCCAGCCCCTGTGGGCATCAATAGGGCCCTGGTGAGGCCTAAGCAGAGACCAACAGTCAGGAGCTCCCCTCGTGAAATGGTCCGAGATGAGGGGTCCTTGGCTCGGTCAAGAATGTTGCGTTTCCCCTCTGGGTCCAGCTCTCCCAACGTCCTTGCCAGCTTTGCAGGAAAGAACAGGGTGTGGGTCATCTCAGCCCCTCATGCCTCTGAAGGCTACTACCGCCTCATGATGAGCCTTCTGAAGGATGATGTGTACTGTGAGCTGGCAGAGAGGCACATCCAGCAGATTGTGCTATTCCACCAAGCAGGCGAGGAAGGGGGCAAAGTACGGAGGATCACCAGTGAAGGCCAAGTCCTGGAGCAGCCCCTGGACCCCAGCCTCATCCCAAAGCTAATGAGCTTCTTGAAGTTGGAGAAGGGGAAATTTGGCATGGTGCTGTTGAAGAAGACACTGCAGGTAGAAGAACGCTACCCTTATCCAGTCAGACTAGAGGCTATGTATGAAATCATTGATCAGGGCCCCATCCGGAGGATAGAGAAGATCCGGCAGAAGGGTTTTGTCCAAAAATGTAAGGCCTCTGGTGTAGAGGGCCAAGTGGTAGAGGAGGGGAACAATGGTGGCGGAGGAGCGGGAAGGCCTAGTCTAGGCAGTGAGAAGAAGAAAGAAGACCTAAGGAGAGTACAAGTCCCACCAACCAGAGAGAGTCGGGTGAAGGTGATGAGAAAACTGGCCACCACAACAGTGACTCCTCCCCCACCTCCACCAACCCCAAGGGCCACCACCCCTCCTCTGGCTCCAGTCACAATGGTGACTCGGACCATGTCTCGGGCAGTAACTGTGGCTGCAAAGCCTACAACCACTACTGCCTTTCCGACCACCCAGAGGTCCTGGACCACCTGGATGCATATCTCCTCAGACTCCCACAGGCCCCCCACCACAGCTGAAGTGACTATGGCCAGGGTACCTTTGGCCTCAGAGAATCTCTATCCTCCACTCAGGAAGGAGCAACACAAAGAGAGGCCACAGACCACCAGGAGGCCCAGCAAGGCCACAAGCTTTGAGAGCTTCACGGTTGCCCCTTCCATCACCACCTCAGAGCACAGCACAAGGGTCAGTCCAGGCCGTTTCAAAGACAACCGCACAGACAGGCGGGAACATGGCCACCGAGACCCAAATGTGGTACCAGGTCCTCTCAAGCCAGCAAAAGGGAAACCTCCCAAAAAGAAGGCTCAGGACAAAATTCTTAGCAACGAGTATGAGGAAAAGTATGACCTCAGCCAGCCTACTGCATCTCATCTGGAAGAGGAGCTGCAGGTGATCAATATTCCCACTAAAAAAGCAAAAGAGTCTAAAAAGCATGAAAAGCCGGAGAAATCTGACAAGAAAAAAAAGATGAAGAATGAGAAACCAGACAAGCTACTAAAAAATGACAAGCAAGTGAAAAAGGACAAAGCTGAGAAAAGGAATAAGCAGGAGAAGGAGAAGAGCAAGAAGAAAAAAGCTGATAAAACTGAGCAGGATGGATACCTGAAATCCACCACAAAAGATTTCCTTCATAATCCCAAGAAGTCAGTGACTGACCTGCTGGGGTCCTTTGAAGGCAAACGGAGGCTCCTCGTAAGTAATCTTCTCCTGGGCATTGTTTTGTGGGCTGAGGCAGGGTGTGCTATTGTTTGGGCTGTTGTTTTCATAAAATCACTTTGCTAGATGCCAGACTGTGGCTGAACCTGTACCACAACAAGAAAGTCAGATTTGTCATGAAAGTGTAGCCAGACCAGTACCCTTTGTTGGTTTAGATACTCTATGACACTTTGTCCACAGACTCATGGTCCAGGGTAGAGTCAATGGCTAGGACTTGAGATACAAGTGAAGGGAAGCACCTGTGGTCAGCTATTTCCAAACTTGTCAGTAGGCTTCCCCATTCTTATGGTCCTCTTCCAAGGTCTATTTCTGGAAGAGCTATCTTTTTCCCAGTTCAAAAGATAGGAAAAGAATGAAGCAGTTCTTAGAATGGAATACATTGACTGTAGTTATATCTCCTTGAGCTTAAGAAACAGAAGCCTGTGTATGGGGGAAATGGCAGGGTTCCTCTTTTCCCTGCTAACTGTATTTTCATCATGAAAAACTTCAAAGGAAAAGCAGCCTTGGTGGGGAGCAAGCATGAGTGAGAGTGAGAAACGGTTCTTGTTGGTAGGACCTTCATGAATACTTGTAAAACCAGCTGACAGAATTATTCTCCCTTTAAAGGTTGCCTCTCATCACTTCCAAGCTACCAGTAATAAACCAAAGGAATGGAGAGTGGAGAACTGGGCTGATTGCTCCAATTTCTAGTACTCTGAGGCCCCATAAAATGAACATACGCATGTATGTTCACATGTGTGTATTTATGCACATTTGTCTATATGAAAAAGACAGACAAGCAGTCTTTACTTTAGCTTGTCTTTACTTTAGCTTTGTCTGCAATACTGATTACTGATAATCCTGAGCAAGTCATAGATCCAACTCAGTAATCCTCTCTCTTGGCCACTATGGGGTCTAGTTAAACCTAAGGAGGGCTTTGAGCAGGAATCAGCCCCATCCTAAAGTGAGGGCTTCTTTCTGAACCACCTTCTTCCTTATTTTAGTGCCTCAAGATTTCTACTCCTAGCTTATTAATGCTGCCCTTTTACTCTAAGCTGTCAAGGAGAAAAAGATTGTAATATAATTAATTCAAAATACAAGATCAGTAAATTGACTCAACTGCAATTAATAACAACAACGTTGGTCAGGAATGATTCTCTCAGATACCTGCATGGGAGGGAGCCATCATGTGCCACTAAGAACAGCACTCATCCTGCTGAAGGCACAAGGCGACCCCTTGCCCTGAGTCCCCATCAAAAGAGATAGTGACTCTTCTCTCAAGGCTTTTCTCAGGTGGCATCTTTTGAGTTTTCAGTCTGGGCTATGTTTGGATTAAGGACCTGGGAAGAGAGACTCTGTTGTCCACTGATCTTTAGTGGCTTCCGAAAACTTAAATGTGCATTTGAAATGTTATTCATTTAGCCAACAGGGCAAGCAAAGTCTGCTCATGGTTAGGATTAACCAGAGGGGGGGAAAAAATCACGGGTAAAATGCCAGAAATGTAATTGTGCACCCTCTGGCAAATACTTTCATTGCCCCTGGTGTGTGAATCAAAAGAAAAGGGTTTGCACTACCATATCCTTGATATGAGTCATGCCTTTTTTTCCTCCCTTCTTCTCTTCACTTACTTAGTGAAAGCCCAGCTGGGCCTTTTCTGCTTTTAATGTATCCTTCATCATAAATTTATAGCAAATGAAATGCAAATGACAGCTTCTGCTGATGTCATGTGAGTCAAAGCAGAAACAAGCTGCAATTGCTTTTGGCAACGTTGGCTCTTTGGGGCCAGCAAGAGAACAAGGTTTGTTATTAGAAAGCACCAAGGGGAGGCATTGCAGTCTGGCTGTCCCCATGTTCCCTAGTCAGACATTTGTTTTCTGAAGAGCTAACTTTTTTTTTTTTTTGAATGATGACTAAAGTAAGAATGGAATTGGAAAAGAAAAGATGGGGTAAAGATGATAAAAAATCAAAAGGTGAACAAAAAAGAGTCTTTTTCACCAGACTGAGTGAAAACTTGTGTTTTTGGGTGAAAGATTTTTTGGATGACATTTATCCTTTGTCCAGAGGCATATTTAAGGTATGGCAGGTATGGCATGTGGTCTGGGTCCCTGTTGAGGAGGGGGTGCCAGTGAGCAGTTTCTATTAACCATTGACTCTTCCATGGCCAGCTGTGAAAGCATCCAGCAATTTAAAACTAATTACCATGAGCTCTACTTTCTGTAGATATGCCGCTGCCCTTTTTCTACTTATTTTTCCTATCAAGCTAGCTGATGTTATTCAGGAAGTTCAGGGGTTCAATTAATATTCATAAAGCCTTAGCATTCTCCAAGCTGCTCAAGGGCTGACCATATTTCCTCTAAATGGTCTCAATTTAACCCAATGTGCACAAACTTTAATGAGGTTTCCTGTAATTGTACAGGTCTTTCAGCAATTCTTTCCAGCTTTGCAGTAACCTGGGGCCTAACTACAATTTAGGAACTCTGGTGGCATAATGCCAAAGGCTTTTGACTGCTAACCAGAAGGCTGGCAGTTCAAACCCACCAGCCACTCCTCGGAAGAAAGACTGGGCAGTTTACTTCCTTAGAGATACCACCTTGGAAACTCAACTGACTCGACGGCAGTGAGTTTGGCTTTTTGGTAACTACAATTTATCATAAACCACCGTGCTTTGCATTTACTTATAGCATTCTTTAGTTGTGGGAAAAAAAGAAATCATATAATCATTACTTTACTAATTACTTAGAGAAATACTGGTGATGATGGTATAGTTTATGATTGAGTGAATGGTATCACAGAGACTTTCAAAGAAGCTACAGGTGGACTCAGTGTTCTGTACTTAAGTCAGAATTAAATTCTTCAAACCATTTCCTCTCACTTTGTACAAAAAGAAGGGCATATCCTGCAAGGGGCATGGTAAGAATTTTGTGGTTTTAATTCTCTCAACAACCCCATGAGAAAAGACTTTTTAAACCCCATTTTATAGATGAGGAAATAGAGATTAGGGAGGTTGAGGAATTGCCCAAGATGTATAGTTAATATGTGGCAAAGCTAGTATTAGAACTCAGATCTGCTTGATTTTAAAGCACATACTCCAGCCATTGTCCATCTGCCTTTCTGTGGGGATAAGCTTCCTGTCGGGAAGTGTCATGAAGTGAAGGGGGAACCTAGATATCATCCTGTTATTAAATAAATCTGCACATTTCAAAATTCATTTTCAGCCTTGACTTATTTGGATAAATGGTAAAATATATTGTCAACATTTTGTGCTACAAATGTGGACTTTCTGCCTTTAATACCCAGCTAGTTGTCTGCACCTCAAATCTCTGGCTCTTCCAGCAGTCAGTCAAGGACAATGGATTGAATCCCAGTTAACCTAATCCTTCCAAAGGCATGATGTCAGTATGGGGTTGACTATGGTGCACTAAAGCACTAGCCTATACAGAATACAGCTGACAAAAGTCATCATTTTGGACTCTGAGATTAATCAACTCATCAGTCAAGAGGCTTCATAGTTCTGAACTGTGTAAATTCAGGTGCAAGTTTAAGCACTCTTTAGAGACTGACTCTCCTGTAATTCAAGTGAGTTGATATTTTGAATCTCACTTCGGAAATCTGGATGTTGAGACAACAATCTACTTACTTGGTTTAATTTAGAAAAGGATTAAAAACTCTGCCTTAGTAGCTTGAATGTTCTTTTCTGTGTACTGTAAAAATCTAATGTGTTGAGCCTAAAACCAAAATCAGTTGCCTTATCAATTCCAACTCATGGTGACCCCATGTGTGTTAGAGTGCAACTAGACTCCATAAGGTTTTAAATGGCTGAATTTATTGAAGTAGATATCCAGACTTTTTCTAAGGCCTCTCTGGGTAGACTCAAGTCATCAGCCTTTCAGGAAGCAGCTGAGCATGTTAACTGTTTGCATCATTCAGGGACTCTAGGGCTTAACACAGTACTTAGAATAATCACAGGCTGAAAATACCTTCCCACGTAGCATCTTCCTGTTTCTGCTTGCTTCCTTTATGAATGTAAACTGGCTTCATTATCTTCTGAGGCTCACTGAACTAACAAACCAGTTGGAACAGAAACATGAAAAAAAACACAACACAATTTTAAATGCATGATACATTCCCTCATTTATTGCCACCAAACTGGAAAGAGGCCAAGCACAACTGTCAGATAATAATGTTTACTGCAAAGTTCTAGGATGCTCTTTTCAGGAAGAGGCAACTGGAAATGGTTTTCATTTTAAACACTGTTTGAAATACTGCCAAACTAAGGAATGAATGTGACAGAGATGTCAATACACAGGGAAACAGTCTCTGAAATGTATACAGAGGAACAGCCTGTTCTATTTTTCCTGATACAAAGTCAAGGAGCAGATGAAATGTAAGGGAAAGGATCTTTGCCACTAGTGAGCTGTGTCTAGATATTTATAACCAGGGACCACCGTGAGCCCCTCTCCTCTCCTCTGGCTATGGAGTGATCTATGTAACTTAAGGAACATGGGCCAACATTTGTGTTTCTAGCATCATGGGGCCCAGTGAAAGAGCCTGGGACTTCAGCTCCTTAAGGGACTTAAACTCTTGTTAGGGTGGTGTGACATAAAATAAAAGATAATAAATCAAGGAAATCTAGAAGTTCCAAGTGAGTAGTATAAACTCACTCACTGCCATCAAGTAAGATCCAACTCATAGCAACCTCCTTGGGTTTCTGAGGCTGTGTCACTACAGAAGTAGATTGCCCAGTCTTTATTCCAAGTGAATAGTATACAAAAAACCCAAAGTTACTGACTTTGAGTCGGATCCGACTCATAGCGACCCCTTCTTGGGTTTCTGAAGCAATATCGCTACGGAAATAGATTGCCCAATCTTCCTTCTGAGGAGTGTTTGGTGAGTATGAACAGCCAGACTTCCAGTTAGCAGTGAGTAGTACAGACAATTAAAAAAAAAAAAAAAGTTACTGTTGCATCAGCTCTGAATCATGGTTACCTCTTGTGTGT